GGTTTACGAGTTTGACTCTTTTAAAACGCTCATCATGAGGGTTTCTAGCAGCATTGTTTAAGAGTTTATAAACCACTCCTAAACCCTCTTCAACTTCTTGGGGTTTTGCAGTTTTGAGAAATGCCTTCAGAGCTTCCGCGGCCTGCAAACCCTAAACCACAAACGAGGGTTTAGGGTTTAGGGTTTAGGGGTTGGAGGTTGGGGTTTAGGGTTTAGGGATGTGTTTTTCTGCAGGAAAATCCTGTCGACGAATCGCCGAACACGGAAGTATTGGTCAGACTAAATCTCTGTGCTTTAGGGTTTAGGGTTTAGGGTTTAGGGTTTAGGGTTTAGGTGCTTGAATACGGCTAGGTTTCACTTTCCTGGGCAGAGCAGGCAGCAGCAGTCTCTAACCTCCCTAAACCCTAAACCCTAAACCCTAAACCCTAGCTTTATCTGTTTTCGAGTGAATTGGGTATCTGAGGACAGCGCAAGTTTGCTCTTGCGCCCAAACCTCCAACCCCTAAACCCTAAACCCTAAACCCTCGTTTGTGGTTTAGGGTTTGCAGGCCGCGGAAGCTCTGAAGGCATTTCTCAAAACTGCAAAACCCCAAGAAGTTGAAGAGGGTTTAGGAGTGGTTTATAAACTCTTAAACAATGCTGCTAGAAACCCTCATGATGAGCGTTTTAAAAGAGTCAAACTCGTAAACCCTAAACCCTAAACCCTAAACCCTAAACCCTAAACCCTAAACCCTAGGCACTGATGAGGGTTTAGGAGTGGTTTATAAACTCCTAAACAATGCTGCTAGAAACCCTCATGATGAGCGTTTTAAAAGAGTCAAACTCGTAAACCCTAAACCCTAAACCCTAAACCCTAAACCCTAAACCCTAAACCCTAGGCACTGATGAGGGTTTAGGAGTGGTTCATAAACTCCTAAACAATGCTGCTAGAAACCCTCATGATGAGCGTTTTAAAAGAGTTAAACTTGTAAACCCTAAACCCTAAACCCTAAACCCTAAACCCTAAACCCTAAACCCTAAACCCTAGGCACTGAGGAGGGTTTAGGAGTGGTTTATAAACTCTTAAACAATGCTGTTAGAAACCCTCACGATGAGCGTTTCAAGTGTCAAACTCGTAAACCCTAAACCCTAAACCCTAAACCCTAGGTGCAGTACGCGGACCTTACAAACAGCGTGGAGGCCATGCTGAGGGCTTACGACTGAGGGTTTAGGGTTTAGGGTTTAGGGTTTAGGGTTTGTGCGGCTGCAGGACAATCCGAAAATAAAAGAGGCCGTTGCTAAGCATCCCCATCTCCTGCGGTTCTTGCGTCTGGGTAACCCTAAACCCTAAACCCTAAACCCTAAACCCCAAACCCTAAACCCTAAACCCTAGTTACAGGCCCTTAAAGCGGAGACCAGCACCTGCGAGGGGACGCGGCCCTGTTCAGGGACTTCTAAGGAAAGCAGTTCAAACGATTTGGGATTTACGGCTTAGGGTTTAGGGTTTAGGGCCTAGGGTTTAGGGTTTAGGGTTTAGGGTTTAGGGTTTAGGTTGGTGTCTCGCAGCTGGCTTCACTGGGGGCCCAGGAACCACCGAGTTGGTGCTGCCAGCAGATTCATCCCCAGCGCGCCTGCAGGCGTGTCTTGCTGCACTGCAGCAGCAGCAGCAGCAGGAGCAGCAGCAGGAGCAGCAGCAAGAGCAGCAGCAGCAGGAGCAGCAGCAGCAGGAGCAGCAGCAGCAGGAGCAGCAGCAGGAGGCCGGCGCAGCACAAGTGGAACAGCCACAAGAACAAAGCTCCGAGCAGCAGCAGCATGAGCAGCAGCAGCAGCAGGAGCAAGAGCAGCAGCAGCTCCATGGGCAGCAGCAGCAGCAGCAGCAGCAAGCTGAACAGTTTCCAGCAGCGGCACCAGCAGCACAAGCCGCAGCAGCATGAAACCCTGCAGCAGCAGCAGCAGCAGCAGCAGCAGCAGCAGCAGCAGCAAGAGATGCGTCCCAATTTAGGCAATCCAGCCAATGAGCTGCCAAAACTGTCCCCTTTAGTCTAAACATTAAATAGAAGTTTCCAGGGGGCCCCCAAGTACCCTAGGGGCCCCCAGGGGGGCCCCCAAGTACCCTGGGGGCCCCCGGGGGGGCCCCCAGGGGGCCCCCCAAGAACCGCCCAGGGGGGCCCCCCAGGGGGCCCCTGGGGGCCCCTGTAGAGTTTCTAGCCAATACTGCAGCGCTGGGGGGGCCCCCCGGGGGCCCCCAAGCCAGGCATTTTTGGGGGCCCCTCGGGGGCCCCTGGGGGCCCCTCGGAGTCCCCTGGGGGCCCCAGGGGGGCCCCCTAAGCCCTATTCAGGGAGGGTACTGGGGGGCCCCCGAGGGGCCCCGGGGGGCCCCCGAGGGGCCCCGGGGGGCCCCCTTGGTTCCGTGGAGGGACTGAGTAGGGCCGGTTCACCCCTGTTCGCTAGCTAGTTGCTGCTGGCTAGCTGCAGCTAGCAGCTAGCTGGCTAGGAGCTAGCTAACTAGCTGCTAGCCAGCTAGCTGTGGCTAGCAGCTAGCTAGCTGTGGCTAGCTAGCTAGCTGGGCCTATCCCCAGCTACTTAGGGCGGCCGAGGTGGCAGCGACGTCCCCCGCCTTAGCTAGCTAGCCGAGTGGCTAGCTAGCCATTCTCGGCTAGCTAGCTAGCTAGCTAGCTAGCTAGCTAGCTAGCTAGCTAGCTGGCTAGCTAGCTGTGAACGACTGGCTGGCTAGCTAGCTGGAGCGCCTGACACCTGGCTGGCTGGGTAGCCAGCCACTTAGCTAGCTAGCCAGCTAGCCACAACTCTAGCCACCTAGCTAGCTAGCCAGCTAGCCAGCTAGCTAGCCAGCTAGCTAGTCAGCTGGCTAGCTGGCTAGCCAGCTAGCCAGCTAGCTAGCTAGCTGGATAGCTAGCTAAGACGGAAGGCATTCTTCTGCAAGGAACAGAAGCGCAGATGCCTCAAGCCGCCGCCCTAAACCCTAAACCCTTATTTTTGAGACTAAGGAAAGCAAAGGGTTCATCCTAAACCCTAAACCCTAGGCCTCGCTAAACCCTAGACCCTAAACCCTAAACCCTAAACCCTAGCTCGTACCTTCGTGAGAGCAGCCACAGTCTGCAGCGCCTTCTCCGCTCGAACAGCTGCGTCTTCAGCCTCTGCACGCAGCAGCAGCAGCAGCAGCAACAGCAGCAGCAGCAGCAACAGCAGCAGCAGCTTGCACTTGAAACAGCAACAGCAGCAGCTTCCGTTTATAGCAGCAGCAGCAGCTTGCACTTCTAGCAGCAGCAGTAGCCGCAGCAGCTTGCGCTTCTCGCAACAGCAGCAGCAGCAGCAGCAGCTTGCACTTCTAGCAGCAGCAGCAGCAGCAGCTCGCCCTTCCACGCAGCAGCAGCAGCAGCAGCGGCAGCAATTTCTTCAGCAGCAGCAGCAGCAGCAGCTCGTGCTTCTAGCATCAGCAGCCTAAGGATCGTCGCTGCACTTGGGGTGTTTCAAGTCTCCACATTAGGGTTTAGGGTTTAGGGTTTAGGGTTTAGGGTTTAGGGTTTAACTAAGGATCGTCGCTGCACTTGGGGTGTTTCAAGTCCCCACATTAGGGTTTAGGGTTTAGGGTTTAGGGTTTAGGGTTTAGGGTTTGACCTTGTTTTTGCTTCTCTCTCTTTGCAAAAGCGTAGAAGTCCTGCAGCCTTTCTTTTCTTTTTCTTTTCTTAATTGCTGCTGCTGTGTTAATACCCAGTGCAGCAGCAGCAGCAGGACCCAGCTGGGGGCCCCCTGCTGCTGCTGCTGCTGCTGCTGCTGCTGCTGCTGCTGCTTGAGCCCTAAACAGGCTTTCCCCCTCGCCAGCAGCAGCAGCAAAGTTTTCTGCTGCTCTAAACCCTTTCACAGTTCCTCCGTCTCCGGCGCTGTTCTTTCCCCTGCGCCCAAACCCTAAACCCTAAACCCTAAACCCTAAACCCTAAACCCTAAACCCTCGCGCGGTCAGCGACGCGCGGCCGCGGCCGCAACCGCGCAGAGCTAGGGTTTAGGGTTTAGGGTTTGGGGTTTGCACCCCAGCTAGAACTGGCGGGGAGACTAAACAACTCCGAAGGCTAGGGCTTAGGGTTTAGGGTTTAGGGTTTAGGGTTTAGGGTTTAGGGTTTAGGGTTTACCCTTGCACAAGAATAAAGCCGTCTTCATCCACAACTTGCTTTTTCCTCTGCTGCTTCTTCAAGTCCTTCGCCATGTCATAAGAACGCATGAAGGTGTCCACCTCCCTGCGGCAAAGCCTAAACCCTAAACCCTAAACCCTAAACCCTAAACCCTAAACCCTGAACCCTAAACCCTAGACACTGAAGCCAGGACCCTGACTGTAGAGGATGAGCCCTAAGCCCTAAACCCTCGCTTTGAACGCCCAGCCCTCAGCGCTAAACCCTCGCGAAGCCATCCGAGGGACTAGGGTTTAGGGTTTAGGGTTTAGGGTTTAGGGTTTGCCTCTTCAGCTTCTTCGCAGGCTTAAACAAAGCCGCAGCCTCCAGCAGCCACTTCAGAGGCCCCTCTCTGGAGACGATCCCAGACGATCCCAACTCCACTTCACCCCACAACTCCAGGGGTCCCCCCCGGGGCCCCCCAGTCTAAGGGTACTGCAGCAGCAAGAGCTCTATTTGCTGCTGCTGCTTCTTCATAGATGACGTGCACTAGACGCACGGAAACTGCCTGCAGCCTCGCAAACCCTAAACCCTAAACCCTAAACCCTAAACCCTCAGGGTTGGCCTCTGGCTCCGCAAACCCTAAACCCTAAACCCTAAACCCTAAATCCTGAAGACTGGCAGAGCCCCAAGGGCGGCGCTGCAGAGAAGCTGGAGCAAAGCGGCGGGCCTAGGGTTAATGGACTAGGGTTTAGGGTTTAGGGTTTAGGGTTTAGGGTTTACATTCTTTTTTGAAACTTTTTGCTCCGTAAGCTTGTCATAAAGAGCCTCTATAGGGCCGAAAGCAGCAAAGGCTTGCTGCAGCTGCTGCTGCTGCAGCAGCAGCGGCGCATTGCAGACAAACAAGGCCCTTCCTGCTGCTGCTGCTGCTGCTGCTGCTGCTGCTGCTTCGCTGCTCGCTTCTTCTGCTGCTGCGCCGTCTACTGCAGCAGCAGCAGCTGCTGCTGCTGCTGCTGTGCTCAGCGGTGCCGCCTCTGCAGGCCTTATTAGCACCTGAAGGCCACAAGCAGCTAGGGTTTAGGGTTTAGGGTTTAGGGTTTAGGGTTTAGGGTCAGAGACTCCGGGCGCCGGCGCCTACCCTCGTGGGCCACAAGGTGACAGTTTACAGTCACTTCTAGGGTTTAGGGTTTAGGATTTCAGGGTTTAGGGTTTAGGGTTTAGAGTTTAGGGTTTAGGGTTTAGGGTTTAGGGTTTAGGGTTTACCTCGTAGCCAAAAGGCGACCCCGGCAATGCGCCGATGCGAAGCGCCCGAAAGCTGCGGAGCTTCATTCCTCCTAAACCCTAAACCCTAAACCCTAAACCCTAAACCCTAGATTGCAAGACAGGAGGCTTATGTGGAGGTTTAGCTGGGCCGTTCGCAGCAACTCGCTGCTGCTGCTGCTGCTGCTGCAGGATCTGCTACTGCTGCAGCTTTTGCTGTCCCTGCTGCTCCTGCTGCTGCAGACTCTGCTGCTGCTGCTGCTGGATCTTCTGCAGCAGCAGCTGCTGCTGCTGCTGCCTTTGCTGCAGCAAGGATTGCACGCGCTGCTGCAGCAGTTGCTGCTGCAGCAAGCGCTGCTGCAGCAAGCTGCTGCAGCGAGTCCTGCTGCAGCAAATGCTGCTGCAGCAACTGCTGCTGCCAAGCCTATGCTGCAGTAGACTGCCTGAAAGCAGCCCTCTCCAGCGAAAATGCTCAAACGCAGCAGCAGCAGCAGCTGCAGCAGCAGCAGCAGCAGCAGCAGCAGCTGCAGCAGCTGCAGCAGCAGACTCCGCGTGCGCTGTAGCCCTTCCTGCGTAGAAGGCCTCACGCTAAGCCTTGAATCTTTACCCCTAAACCCTAAACCCTAAACCCTAAACCCTAAACCCTAGATATAAGACTCTCCAGCAGCCACTGGTGTGGGGCAGCAGCTGTGGGGCCCCAGCTGTCCCGGGGGGCCCCGGGGGGCCCCCGGGGGCCCCCGAGGCCCCCGGGGGGCCCCCCAGACCCTTTTTTAGAAGGGGGGCCCCTCTAGAGATATAAAATAGAATTTAATCTTTAAACTAAATGCTGGGTTTCAATATTTGCGTGGAAGATAGGTACACTGCAGCAGCAGCAGCAGCAACAGCAGCAGCAGCCGCAGCAGCAGCAGCAGCAGCAGCAGCAGACCTCAGCAACTAGGGGGGCCCCCAGTTGAGGGGGCCCCCTAGTTAAGAGCCATGAGGGGCCCCCCAGTACCCTGTGGGGCCCTTTCTCTTCTGCTGCAGCAGCTCGCTGCGGCTGCTGGGGGGCCCCCTAGGGGGCCCCCCATCGCGTGCCTTGCTGCAGCGGCGACCTCGCAGCAGCAGCAGCAGCAGCAGCGGCAGCTGCAGCAGCAGCAGCAGGCGGGGCTCGCAGCGGGTCTCGGCTGCTTGACTAGGGGTCCTTTTGCTGCTGCAGCAGCAGCAAGCAGGAGCCTTACGCAGCCTGCTGCAGCAGCAGCAGCTGCTGCTGCTACAACAGCAGCAGCAGCAGCAGCGCCGAGGGCAGCAGCAGCAGAAGCAGCCTATGCCAGTAGCGGCATCTGCAGCAGCAGCAGCAGCAGCAGTAGCTGCAGCAGCGCCGACAGCAGCAGCAGGAGCAGCATTGAGGGTTTACAGCAGCAGCTGCTGCTGCTTGATCTGCGCGGGACTTCCCGCTTGCTGCGAAGCGTTGCAGCAGCATTTGCTGCTGCTGCTGCTGCTGCTGCTCCCGCAGCAGCAGCACCACCACAAAGGGCTGGGAGCCCCTGTCTTTGTGCTGCTGCAGCAGCTGCTGCAGTGCCGCTGCTGCCGCAGGGAGCAGCAGCAGCAGCAGCAGCTGTTGAGGCAGCAGCAGCAGCAGCAACAGAAGCCCTGGAGTCAGCAGCAGCGACGGCAAGTTGCTGCTGCTGCTCGCGGTCTGCTGCTGCTGCTTGTCTGTTTGTGCAGCTAAGGAAGCGCTGGCAGCAGCAGCAGCAGCAGCAGCAACTGCAGCAGCAGCTGCTGCAGGAGGGGGGGCCCAGGTCTGCTGCTCTTGCATGCAACGCGCTGGCCAGAATAACACAGACTGCAGCATCACAAGATGCTGCTGCTGCTGCTGCTGCTGCTGCTGCTGCTGCTGCTGCTGCTGCAGGCGCCCGACTCCGTAACGGCAACTCCCGCAGCAGCAGCAGCAGCAGCAGCAGCAGCAGCAGCAATTATGCTGCTGCTGCTATGCGCACCTCACTTGCAGAATGCATTGTAACTCTCCTAGGAGAGGGGGGCCCCCCAGGGGACCCTCTTTCTCTTGGGGGGCCCCCAGGGGGGCCCCCAGGGGGGCCCCCAGGGGGGCCCCCAGGGAGGCCCCCAGGGGGGCCCCTAGAGGGGCCCCCAGGGGGGCCCCTAG